CTAGAGCAAGATTAGTTAAACTGTCTGATTTATTCTTCCCAGCTACTTTATATTTGCTAGATAAAATGAATTGTAATAGCATAAGATTAAGTACTTGGACGAGAAATCAGAAATTACATCTGACCATGCTGACAAAAAATCCATCGTGAATGCGAAAAGACGAGTTCAGATATGAATTTCTGTATCTTCTTCAACTTCAAGGTAAGTTGCTTAGTTTAATTGAAGAATTAAAAACATTTAATAAAAGTGTTATGAACTGGCTGTTTCTGTATAGGCCCTGTTATAGATTCTCGATCAGCTGTAGTGGCCCTCGACTCTTCGAGTCTCGGGTCCAATACAGCTAACCTCGAATCTATAACAGGGCCAATACAGAAACAGCCAGTTAATAACACTATATTATTATATTGATCGCTGTTTTACGTTTTTGTTTTGTTGTTGTTTTTTTTTTGGGATATGGAGGAAAAAGGGGGTGGGGTGTGAAAACCTAAAAAGCAAAACCAACTTAACTGAACCACATCTACACGTGCATCTCCAAAGTCAGGTACCTCGTCAGTGGCTGTGTTTAGTTATAGCTTAATGTTTACGTCATATATGGAATATTGTATTGATGGCAGATCGTTGAGTCTGCGAAATGTATAAACATTTTTTCTAGAGCTACATGTATTGAGAGCTTCACGTATTGTACAGACACTTGCTAGACATATTAAGAGCTTCACATATTGTACAGACATTAGGCTTTTGTTGGAGACTAATTGGTCTCTAGATGTCTTTTGTTGTTGTTTTTTTTTGTTGATGTCTCATTGACGTATACCAAAATATCTCCTTTTATTCATAACCCTATTTTTAATCCACAGTTCAACATCAGACTGTCGAGCCGGAATTTTTATATACTGTCTTATATTCCTTTTTTTTTGTCTCATAAACCGTACATTGTCTGGTTCAATATTTTAATGCACTAGACTGATAGTAAAGCCACGATGGACCAATAAACATTAATGTGATCAAGTTTTAAATGTATTTTCCCTTTAGAACTGACATAAAGATAAGTGCAAAAAAGCAATTGTTGATTGAACGTTCTTTTCTTGTTTAAGATGTTCAGTGACAAATAGTTCATTCATAATCAGGAAAAGAAAACAATAAAACAATAAAACAATCAGGTACAACTGCTAGGTTTTTAAGCAGAGATAGACAGGATATTTTGGTTGGTGTCAGAACTTTGCCTCGCAATAGTTCACCTACGGCCTAAAATAGTAATTTAAAGTTCATTTACGGGCAGTGAACGTGGCATTCTCTCAAAAAGGGAACGGTTTTAACGTCCTAGCTCATTGCGACTTGACGTGACTACTTAGTTATGTAAATTTCTTAAATAATGACATACTTTAAGTGGGGAAACATGAAAAACAGGATCAATGTCGTTGAGTTTCTAAAGTAGACTATAATAAAAATGTCAACTGATATGGATTTTTACATATTTAATTTTTTTAAAATACTTAAGGATGTACTTAGGTGAAATGAAAAAAAATCTAGTATAAAATTGATACTATAAGTCAAAAGCTAAAAATATTGATAGGTTATGGAGCTCCTTTTTGAGATATTTAATTTTAAAAAAATGGCGGAAAAGGCTGACTCGGACTTTTATATTTGCCTTATATTTGCATTGGTATTATTTGGGTCTCAAATTGAAAAGAAAAGAAATCTAGATTCTGCTTAGATTTTGGTAAATGACCTCAATTTTATGAGCTATTGAATTCTTATATGAAAAGAAAAATGGATGTTATGGGGCAAAATATTTTACCCTGTTTCGTAGGAAAAAAACCAAGGAGTCCGAACATCTGACAAAAATTCCAAAACCTGACCTAAGTACATCCTTAAATTATTATATATCCTTTGCATTTGCTGTCAAACTTGCAAAACAAGTATTGTGTGTGATCCTCATACAAAAAGAGAGGCAAAAGATACCAAAGGGATATTCAAACTCGTAAATCGAAAACAAACTGACAATCCCTTGGCAAGAAATCGGAAAACGACGAAAAGACAAACAACAGTACATACAAAACAACAAAGAAAACTAAAGACCGAGCAACACTAACCTCATCAAAAACTGGGGTGATCTCAGGTGATCCGGAAGAGTAAGCAGATCCTGCTCCACATGTGGCACCCCTCGTGTTCCTCATAAGTTTAAACCCGGTGATAAGTCCAATTTGGTTGGTCACATTCGAGGAAAAGAGTTGTACAAGGTCAAAATATAATGCTTTGCTGAAGAAGTAGGCTTCTCTCAAAATTTAATGTTATAATTATTCAATGGTGATTTTCAATTTCGATACATAGATATAAAAACAACGTGAATTTGAATTCATAAATATAAGAAGATGTGGTATGATTGCCAGTGAGACAACTCTCCACCAGAGACCAAATGACATAAAAGTTAACAACTATAGGTCACCGTACATCCTTCAACAATAAGCAAAACCCATACCGTATAGTCATTTATAAAAGGTCCCGAATTGACAAATGTAAAACAATTCAAACGAGAAAACCAACGGCCTCATGTATATACAAAACAATGGACGAAAAACAAATATGATATACGGCAACAAACGACAACCACTGAATTACAGACTCCTGACTTGGGATAGGCACATACAGAATGTGGCGTGGTTAATCTATTTTTCTGCCGCCAAACCCTCCCCTAACCTGGGACAGTGGTGTAACAGTACAACATGAGGAACAAACTATAGTCCATGACACGTGACTTTTATTTGATAACTTGTTTGAGTTTCTAATAAGGTGACATATAAAGTTTGTCGTGTCCCTCCCCCATCAATCATGGTATTTCATTAAAGGGTATCTATGAAATCATTTTCAACTAAACATAAAAGACTGTTAAATATATCGTCGACTCGGTATCAAGTTCAATGAACCTTACAAAAAATTATTCCTCCATTGGTCAGTGACACATAGACACGCAGAAACGATCACAACATCAGATAAGATAAAAGATAAACAATATATGAAAAACACTAATGATGAAATTGCTTTACTTAGTAAAAATCAAAAGTTAATCTGATACCGAGTTTACTTTATAATTGCGGAAATAAAAGATACTGGGCTTATATTATTGTATTGTATAGTGATCTGATACCAATACTATCATACATGTACCTATGGTATACCTGAATGGTACGGTGGTATGGCATTGTACACATACCATCACTATTATACCATGTTATACCTGAATGGTACGGTTTTATGGCATTGTACACATACAATCACTATAATACCATGTTATACCTGAATGGTACGGTGGTATGGTATTGCACACATACAATCACTATTATACCATGTTATACCTGAATGGTACGGTGGTATGGCATTGTACACATACCATCACTTTTATACCATGTTATACCTGAATGGTACGGTGGTATGGCATTGTACACATACCATCACTATAGTATACCATGTTATACCTGAATGGTACGGTGGTATGGCATTGTACACATACAATCACTAGTATACTATGTTATACCTGAATGGTACAATGGTATACATATATAGTACGGTGGTATGGTATTGTACACATAACTATTATACAATGGTATACATGTATGGTACGGTGGTATGGTATTGTACACATGAATATTATGCCGCGATATGCATATATAGTACGGTGGTATGGTATTGTACACATGAATATTATGCCGCGATATGCATATATAGTACGGTGGTATGGTATTGTACACATTACTATTATACAATGGTATACATGTATGGTACGGTGGTATGGTATTGTACACATGAATATTATGCCGCGATATGCATATATAGTTCGGTGGTATGGTATTGTACACATGAATATTACGCCGCGATATGCATATATAGTACGGTGGTATTGTATTGTATACATGAATATTATGCCGCGATGTGCATATATAGTACGGTGGTATGGTATTGTACACATAACTATTATATCATGGTATTATTTTTTTACGGGAAGCAAGTATTTGGTATGAAAAAAAACATTCATTGTTTATTTCAAGTGAATATAGACGTGAAACATGAAAGTCTTGATTCTTATTTTGATTTGTCTCTAAACGATATTGGCAAAATGGCCAGTCAATTAATGTTTTTTTTTTACGAGGGACCACAAAAATCACTTGGATAAAAAATCAAAACAGCAGGTGCACAACTTCATATCATGTACACGAATCTGTGCAAGTGTGGTGGAATTATGACAAGCCGTTTTGCGGATTTAATTAACTGATATAAGCAGATCTGGTCAGGTACATGTTTTGGTATGAAAATCCGAAGGCTTTATATATCCGGTACATTCTTTCATCATTTTCATTTGTCAAGTTCATGTCATGAAGACGAATCTGTGCACGTTTCGTTGAACTCTGTCAGGCTGTTTTCGAGGAGTTGTTACAAACGACTTGAACGACAACGACAGACGTGATTCTTATTTTTCGCCGCAGCTGTATCAAATTAGAACAGTATCAAATGTTAAAGCGGAAAAATGTTTTAACTTCTGTAATCCGGATTATTTCCTCCACATGAATGTCTTATTGATACGTATTGACTTGTCTAAATTATAATACTGATGCACTATATATTTACTTTTATTCTGCAACCAGAAAACTGTACCTGAAACAACTTAAATAATTGAAGTGAATCCAATTTAGACGGTATTGAAATAGATAATTCATTTCTGAATCGCAATTTTGATTTAAGTACAAATGATACAAATTTAAACATCATAGACGTGTATGTTTGTTAAGGCTTATCCCATCTTAAAAATAGTACAGATCCGTATTCAAATAATAACTTACTCCAATACGTTGCAAATAAAAATACTACATACATAATGAAAATTGCCATGGGTCATAAACCACGTTATTACATATATTGAAATGTAGGAAAGCTTAGCGTTTGATCGTTCGATCGTTCTAACGTTACGTATATAGATGTATGAGAGATACACACAAACCCTAAGGCGATTGTGTGTTACAGGATATTAATTACAAGTGTATAATAGTGTAGGGTAACAAATGTATCGCATCAAACCAAGACATATTTTGTGGAGATTTCTGTTGCCATTAATATTTTTATTGATTGCTTGGGTAATTTCATTGCAATATATTAACTATTCCAGCGGGAATATAATCCTACCAATGCTTTGGAAACTGTCGGATAAATGTAATATAGGCAAACGAGAAGATATAGACATAATTATTGGAATATGGGGTAAGCAATTGAGAAATATCTCTAAATATTTACAACCTGCTCTATATAACATTTCCAGAGAGGCGTGTTCTGATCATTTTTATCCAGATTTTGAATCAAACATTCGAAAAGTAATTAATTACAAAATAAACACAAATGCGCCGTGTGTAGAAAATACTCATCTAGATGGTCATTATGTGGATTCGATCACTAACAGAAATGATGATATTCCAGTGATAGTAACTGCAGCTTCAAGTGATCATTTCCATGAAGTTCAAGGTTTATTAAAGTCAATTCATACGAATTTGATTCCATTTTACAAGAATATGAAGGTGATATTTTATGATATTGGATTAACACAAAAAGAGAGTAAAGCCATGAAAGATTACTGCAAATGTGAAGTGAGGACTTTTAAATTTCATCAATTTCCATCACATGTCCGGTTATTGGATGCCTATGCTTGGAAACCTTTGATTATTTTCGAAGTCTTGAAGGAGTTTAAATTGATAATGTGGTTAGATTCATGCATTCGATTTTTTAATCAAAGAAAATACATGGTAAAAGAAAACCTCGATTACATTTTCAAAAAGACTAAATTAATTGGCATCCAATTACAACAAAGCCCTAGATGGATAGTGTCTAAACACACAAAACCAGATACCTTTGAATATTTAGATGAACTAGAATGTTTGTATGATTATCCTGAACTTGAAAGTGGTTGGATAGTTATTTCGAAAAATCTTTTTGTTGTAAATGCGATTATAAAACCATGGGTAGGATGTGCCTTGACAGAGAATTGCATGACGCATCCATTCCCGAGATTTTTAAAACCATGTTCAAAAGACTTGTGGAAGTTTTTGCTATGGACTAAGTGTCACAGATTTGACCAATCTGTTCTGAATATTATTATTATAAGGATATTTAACCGATTTAGAAAAATAATAGAATTTGATGGATCACAAATAGCCAGTATATCTAGAGGTGAAAAAGTGAATTATTTTCCAAACTAAAATCCTATAATATATAGACGCAGGACGTTTGCGCTTTTTTACCAGTTCACGAAAGGACATTTGCGCTACAACCACTATTAACTTTGATACACCTGTACTAAATTGACCGGACATTTTTCTTTTTTAAACTATAAAACTTTACCTCTATCTTAATTATTTGTATTCATTACGCAAATTGAAATCAATTTATCACATATTTACAGCTCTCTGTCTAATCAAACTGCTTGAATTTCCCCTCTAAGTTGCATAGTACATACATTGTCAATATACTAAGAAACTATACATTGATGGCCACAATGGTAAGATTTTATTATCCCCGGCTTATTACATTTCTCGGATTTTGATTGGCTAATGGCCGTCGTTATAAAAACCCATAGCCCGGGTGTTGCTTACCCATATACCCGGATGTTGCTACCCATTACCCCGCGGAACGTCACGCGCGTTTTCCTTAGTTCCGTGGTTGTTCCCAGTGAAAAGTTAATTTCTGTAAATTATCCATGAAATCTGTAATTAAATATGTAATCCACTAACGATTTAATCCTATTATGCGGATCATTGGCATTCATTTTAGTAAATGCATCACTTGGCTACCACGTCGTAAATCATGTTTGTCAATGAACAGGACTTCTAACCTAGATATGCAAATGACCTATTCTATCAATCGTAACTCCGTCGAAGAATGAGTATAACGAAATCAGAGATCTATAGTTTAATTAGATTGGCAAATGACCCACGTTGACGTCACACCGTCTATGACATAACGCTTGCGACAATTAGCGCCAAATTTGATTTATTCTAGTTTCTCTGTCTCTGGATTAAAAACGTCTTATATTTGACCACCTGTAGGATTCTACAAAAGGTAGTACATATATATCCGTAGATATGGGTATTTTATCGTAGATAACTTGTACTGTATTGTATTCAATGTATAATATACAAAAATAAATCAAATTTCCAAATTTCAATAAAACTTTTTCAAATAATAAAAAAAACGTTGCTTTCACGTAACACTTTGTGCTTGAATTTCCCTAGAAATCGCCCAATATGGACTAAGACCGGGGATAAATTCGTTATCACGTTCATATCCGTAGTTTTTAACACCACTCTGTACACCCTTCGGATATTATATTGTATTGTAATCAATGTATAATGAGAACAATAAGTGCCACTGGCTATTTTGAAATTTTTGTCCTAAATACGATTAATATAAGTAGTTTTCACAATAATTTTTACAATTGCATATTATAAAAATCATTGGTTTTCAAAGATATATTTACAAGACAGGATTGTAAGTAACTATACATGATGAATGACCACAAAGGACATTTCCTTGTGTTGTGATCACTGTATATTATGAACAATAAGTGTCACTAGCTATATATTTTAGAAAGAAATGTTGTGTTCTAAAATTAATTACTGTAATTAGTGTATCAAAATGACTTTTAAAAATCTTACTGTTAAATTCTTTGTTTTCAAAAATTTATTCGAAAGAGAAGAAATTATAAAAAAAAATCAGAAAATTATTGTTCTCAGTTAAATGCATATCTTATTATTGTTGGCATTCATGTAGTTACTTAGTACACAGAAAAAGTATTTACTATGAAACTTTATATGAATCGAAATTCACGCAATATGAAAGGACGTGATTTTTAAAATATTCTTGAAAAAAAATTATGTCGCATAAAATGATGATAATGGCGAACAATTTGATTAAATTCACCTTCTTAAGCCCCGAGCACTTAACTTTATAGTATATACCATAAAATGTACATGTCACGATGGATTTTTATATCGTTTTGATAAAACCTGGAAAAGTGAAGACCTTTCATGGAGATGTACCAATAAAAACTGTAATGTAAGAATCAATAGAGCTACACATATTTTTCCATCAGAAAAAATAACATATATCACCCACCTGATGACAGAATAATTAAGCGACATCAACTAAGAGTGTTTTCCGAACAGAAGAATGGTGACGACCTTACGCAGAGACCATTACAGATAATTCAAGCTGAATTAAAATATGACGTAGACGAAGATTCTCTCCATCCCTGTGTTAAATGCTATGTACAGAAAAAGAAGAAAATCTGACACAAATTTTTTGAAGTCAAGGGAAGATGTTCACACACTCTTTGAAGGTATCCAGTACATAACACAACACCAGAAAATGTTCTCCAAGTGAACAATTGGGAGAACAGGTTTGTTATGCCCCACCTACGATAATAGAGGGGCATTATGTTTTTCGGTCTGTGCGTCCGTTCGTTCGTCCGTCCGTTCGTTCGTCCGTCTGTCCCGCTTCAGGTTAAAGTTTTTAGTCAAGGTAGTTTTTGATGAAGTTGAAGTCAAATCAACTTGAAACATAGTACACATGTTCCCTATGATATGATCTTTCTAATTTTAATGCCAAATTAGAGTTTTGACACCAATTTCACGGTCCACTGAACATAGAAAATGATAGTGCGAGTGGGGCATCCGTGTACTATGGACACATTCTTGTTTTATCATGTTTTCATGTTCGACACAGAAAGCTTGTGTTATGTTGAAGAAATTCTAATATTTGGAACATTCAAATTTTGCTCTGAAATATTCAAGCAACTTTATATACCATTAAAAAGATAAAGGAGGAGGGAGGTAAAAACAAAACCCACCAAATCTCAAATGTTATGTAAAGATAAAAAAGGGCAAATGTCCTATTAAAAGGCGCAAACTGTTCACGCTGTATTATCATGATTATATCCAGTGGCTTTTCGATATACAATTTAGTTCATTTTCTAGTGAGAATAATACTACATAAGAGTTAAAAAAAAACCAACCAAACAACCAGCAAATTTAATGAGTACTGGATCGTTTAAGATTGACGATACTGCAAAGAAAAAAAAAAAAATAAATTAAGTCTTAAAACTTGTGCATATATACTGATAAAAGAAGACAAAACAATATCGTAAATCAGAATATAGACTTCATATCACTATTTTGTTTTCCTTCAAATTATTGTATTATTGCATTTTGAAAAAAAAGAAGATTGATATATTAATACACGAGCACACATTTTTTTCAAGCATGATTTCTCATTTTTTCCCCCTCATAATGGGCTAGGTGAGCACTTCAATCACTGGTCGTCCCTCGACGTCGTTGTCTTAAACCTTTCAAACCTCCCTTCTGTAACCACTAGACAAAAAAGAATTAATGTTTTTGGTTAATTATTTTGTATTCCGAATTTAAATTTCGCTACTTCACTTAATGGAGTCGCAAATTTAACCCTTAACCAAAATTTGTTATTATTTAAAAAAGTCTTGCAAAAGTGAACGTCGGGCGAGATTAAGCCGACTGAGATCATTTATACACCAATGGTTGACTAAGGTATAGAACTATGGACCCCGGAATTAATATAAGGCGTCCATTTGCATCTGCAGGATGCATAAATACAAAGATACGTCGGGTAGAAATGAAGATGGTAAATCCGACGTGTACCACGAGTGACACACACTCTGCACGTTATACAACTCTTGCAACACCTTATGAGGGGTCCGTAGGTGGCCTCTTTCGAACCATGATTTCTGTTCTTTACCAACTCACCATCTTTTTCAAAGTGGGGGTCTAAATTTCCAGCTCTTCAGCCCGGTCGACCCACATTGTAGACCTACCAATTGGAATAATGCGACTTTGTTTTCGTCTTTGTAATGAATTTGGATGAAATGATTGTCAATGGACACAAACAGTGATCATTCATCAATCAATTAATCAATCGACCAATGTACTATGCGAAATCAATATTAAAACATAAGTACGTGAATTCAAATCAGGCGTGAAAAGGTTTTTTAAGATTTAAGAGTTTATTTCTGTCATCCATATATTTATGCCTAATGTAAAAAGAGTTTACAAAATGATCAAATTGTCAAAATAACTATGCATATCCTTTTTTCTTCTTTCGATGTGACGTTTTTATAAATATTAGCCCAAACTTTTACGTTAGAAGAAGAACATTTTATTTTTATTTTTGTTTAGTTTGAAGAAAATCATTAAGTTACACATTTGGTACACAGAAATAAATTAACCTGTAATTTTTAACTGAAAAACAAAATCTATAGTTCTATTACAAAATTACAAGATACCAGAACATTTGATGTACCATATACGCATTTTAAACAATTATCATCAATGGTGCTAAAGAACAAACATAGGAAATATTATTTTACCTCTTTTGTTAATAACACGATCACTTATTATTTTGCAATGATTGTCGACAAAAGGTGAAAAATCATATACTACTTATCGAAATTAGGGATGAACAAATTTTGTATGTTAAAGCAATCAAATGAAAAAAGTACATCGTTTTGTTTTTCATTAATCAGTTCTGTTCTACACTTACATGTTAAGTAAAATCCAATCAGATGAATGAGAACAATCTATACATGTGACGAGTTTAAATTACGGTTTACGTCTTTCACCACATACATATTAACTTTTTTTTTTCTATTTGAAATTTATCTAGAGCTAATCGAGTAATGGTTAAATGGGCATTAGCTGCGATTTAGATAAAAAATAATGTTTGATATTTTTTTGGTTTTAAACATTTATAAAACGGAATATTGAAAGAATATTTCGCTATTAGCAGTCAGTTTGGTTCAAATTGGTCAAAACAAACTTCAAAATTCGATGGTATAGGATTTGCTTTCAAGTCATTAATTCAACTTCTTTTGAATCCATATTCATGCTACCTAAATTTTAGCCGTAGCTGGAGATGGGTTACGCACTTGCTAAGCCTTTTCAGTAATATAAAAAGAATGTCAACATTGAAAAGTGGAGCCATTAGGAAGAAAAAATATCGTTTACTGAGTAGGCCCACAGAAAATCTTATACAGGTTAAACAGCGATTTACATTAAAAATATTCGATTAAATGAAATAAGACAAACCTAGAAAACTCGTGAATATATGATTGCACGTGTCTAAAATTTTCCCGTCTATTTATATTTATGTGTACATCGGATCATATCACCATCGGAAGTCTTTGGAGGTTATTTCGATGGTTAATTAGATGGCGTCTAGTCTAAAATGGAATAGGAACCAATGACAGGATACCAGTCTAGTACCCACAAATGAAGTCCCTTAAGAATTTGAAAACGGTTATTGAATAGTTGCAACAAAATGACTTTTTACTGTCCATGATTACTACGACAATGTGCATGTGTGGTCCAACCATTGGTCTGTGTTATATAGACCGGTCGATAATTTATTAGATAAATACAATACAAACGAAAGGAAAGCCCAACGGCCTGATTTATACTAGAACAATAAACAAAAAGCATTTATGACAGACAGAAAACAACGACTTCCTTTTCATTAAATGGTCCTGAAATTGGACTGTCACTTAACGAATGAGGCTGGATTAAACATGTTATTAACCGATAACCATCTCCTTCTAACCTGGTAACATACTGTAAAAATCAGTTGGAAAATGCTTGAATCATCAGATCGGTATTTGTCATAAAACGACTAACAAAGATTACTTAAAGCTCATTCAATTAAATCAACTTATAGCAGAAACACTCATCAAAGTTACTAGGCTTACAGTTGTGACGCGCGTTTTTTCTATAAAAGACTCATCAGTGAAACTCGAAAAAAAACAAACTTAAAAAGGCCAAAAAAGTACGAAATTGAAAAGCATTGAGGACCAACAATTGCGAAAGGTTTTGCAAAATACGGCTAAGGTAATTAGTTTGTGCGTATATATCTCGAACTTGATATGATAGTCCAGGACTTGCGTTTCCTATCATTATTCCCCGATAGAGTTGCTGCTAACAAGGGAGCTATTAAACCAATAATTCCAAGTAGTGAAGTTGGACTCATCTCTTCGAAAATTTTACGGACGACATCACGAGTTGGTGGACCGTTAGGGAATATCTGTTTCATAGATGACAACGGATATGTTCCAATCGTCGTAACTACAATCCGGTCCTCCTCTCCCCCGAATGTGACCTACTGAATTAGACTCAGCAGCGGGTTTGTACTTACATGAGCATCACGACGATTGTCACATGTGAAGCAGGATCTGCTTACCCTTCCGGTGCATCCCCCCGGTTTATAGTGGGGTTTGTGTTGCTCAGTCTTTAGTTTTCTCTGGAGTGTTTTGTGTACTGTTGTGTGACTTTTCGTCGTTTATCGTTTTTTTTTGCCATGGCATTATCACTTTGTTTTCGACCTATGAGTTTGAATAAACATTTGGTATCTTCCGCCTTTTTAAGACTTGACTTTGGATTAAAGATTAAATTCCTGTGCTTTTTGTAATACTTTTATATGAAAATATGCGTGTTTAGATCTAGACTTAAAGCCCAATCTCTTTGATTTAATAGGTTCAACACTATTTGTGTATCCATTTTGAAGTACTGGTTTCGAAGATACTAATTAAGTGGTTTCAAGTTTATTAGCAACTTGTCTTTCGTTGACTGATATTTTTTTTCTATTGTTCCTTTTTTCAATAGTGAACTTATTTTCTAAATTTATAATATCTTGACTTTTTCTACTGACTACGTATACTGTTTTTATATTCCCGGAAAATTAGGTTTTTGCAGAACTCTAGTTTGGAACCCACTTTTACAGTTGACAGAACCCATGCACTGATTATGAGTTATCTGCTCCCATTCTTGGAAACAATATTTTTAACCCCTATTCACTTTTTTCACCTTGTCATTTAAATTTTCCCTACGATTTGCTTCCTCTGCTGTTGCTAGAACCTCCCGCATACTTTGGGGTCCGAAAAGACTGAATTTCAGTTGTAGCCTTACTATATGCATAACATTTTTCTAAGACGGTTTATTGTTAAAATTCGGCTTAAGTCGGCGTTGTCAGTTTATTTTCGACTTATGAGTTTGAATGTCCCTTTGGTATCTTTCGCCCTTCTTTTACTACCCCTTTTTGAAATTGCCTTTGAGTTCTGTAATTTTGTTATACCTTTATTTCATTGTTAATGTGAGGATGTTGACTTACGTATAGAAATTAAAGATGAGTGTCGACTGAGGACAAAACTTTACGACGACAAACAATGATTTCTGCATAACAATTGTGAACTTTTTATTTCTAGGTAGCAACACTCCAGCAACGCATGCATATGGAGTATATATCTGCTCGGTATAACGACACTGCAGAGTTGGGTCCTCAATGCTCTTCAACTTTGTTCTTTAATTGGCTTTTCAACCTTTTTTTAGTAGACAAAACGCGCGTCTTGCCTACAAAATTATAATCCTTGTATCTTTGATGGTTTTTTTTTCTATCATGATTTCCTTTATAAAGTGTTGCTGGTTACAAGTGAGAGGTTTAGCTAGCTATAAAACCAGGTTTAATCCACCATTTTCTAGACTACATAAGGAAATACCAGTACCAAGTCAGGAATATGACAGTTGTTTTCCATTCGTTTGAGCAGTTGATTTTTCCATTTGATAAGGAACTTTCCGTTTTAAATGTTTTGAATTTTGGAGTTCGGTATTTTTGTTATTTTACTTTTTTAAACCAACAGTTCCAAGCGGTGATGTTGAAGTGATCCCTTCGAAAATGTTTCTCGAATGTGATTGCACCAAATTATTCATCATGGCACCATATTTTTCAACGAGTTTGTACTTATAGGAGAAACACAACGGTTTTAAAATGTTGATCAGGATCGTCCTAGCCTATCAAAGCACCTGAGTTCACGACCGTTTTTTATGAGGTTCGTTTTGCTCAGTCTTTAGTTTTCTTTGTTGTGTTTTGTATACTTTTGTTTGTCTTTCGTTCTTTTCTTCTTTTTTTTTTTACGACTAATGACTTTGAATATTCCTTTGGTATCTTCCGTCTCTCTGTTTATAGATAATCGGTTAGTATTTCTTACATTAGAACTGTAATGTATAAGTGACGTATACCATTACCATGATTACCAACTGATGTAAAGAATTCACTTTTATGCAAAAATAAAACACTGATTTACATTGTTTATTTTAGAAGTAATACCAACGAAGCAGTTCTTTGATCTTTGTAGTACTTTCTGGAATGAAAACAACTGAAAGTTAGTTTGAGGTTAAATGAATTATAACATTAATAGTTCACGTTTGTATCCTGCTTCACATTATTGCATATTAACGGGATAAACGTTAACATATTGAATATACTTATAATTGTTATCAAGTTGATGTGCACACATTAGAGTATTGCTGACGTCAATGCTAGGGCATTGGTCCAGTTGTAAATTGTGAGCTTGTATTCATCTATTGTAGAACTCAAGCAACTTTCAAAAAGATGCAAAATAAAGGCAACAGTAGTATACCGTTGTTCAATAGTCATAAATAGATTAAGCGAAAACAAAACAGCAATAAAAGTATTTCATAAGTCTTTTGTCTCATTAACAACTTTGCCTTTCTAGTTTGTAAGTAAAGGTATTCTTCTTTTCGGCAGTCTTGTTTCAAATCTGAATGAGATGTTGGTGTCAAGGGTACATAATAAAGGTAATTCTTTAAGATTTGTTTTGCGCATCTAAATAACTTATCATTTTTAAGTGGCAAGACCTTCTGTTGAAAACCCCTTCATGTATGTCTATGATTATTCCTTCAATAGAGGATTAAAAAAATAAGTCTTTCCTGGCAAATCGTCATTAAAGAAGAGAAGTACGCACAACTGTATTTAGTGTTTTTCAGGTTGGTTCTTATACTCATCGGCAGGTCGTTACATGTAGTAGGAGACTTGTTTTGGTTTCCAAAGGTCGTGCGATCGGTACATGTTGTACTATACACTTACTTTCAGGCTTTATCTAGTAGAAGTTTGCAAATGGGCACTTGCAAAAGAAAAGAGACAGAAGATCACAAGGGGACACTCAAAACTCACAAGTCGAATATAAACTGTTAACGTTAAACGATAAAAAGTTGAACAAGTCCACAGAGCACTACATAGAAAACTAAAGACTGAGCAATACGAACCCCACAAAAAACCGGTGTGAATTCATGTTCTCTGGAAGGGTAAGCTGTTTATATTCCATGTGTGGCATCACTGATACAAATGTCCAAAGGTTGTCGTGTAAAATAGTAAGCAGTACGGCACTTACGAAAGTCGGAAGGTCGTTATTTAAAAATGTCCCCACTTGCAAGTTTGCAATTTGGTGATTTAAAAATCAATGTTTATATTGATGGCAAATTTGAACAGCCACTAGATCAGTAGTCAATTATAGAACTTATCAAATCTCCTGGTAATATTTACTTTTCTCAAATAACACTTTAGCATGTTATAAGTAAACAATTAATTTCATTGGATCAGTATATGTAAAGGAAAGCTAAGGAGGACTGACATAATTGTATTTTATTTTTGCCTTTTTTTGTCCGTTTGATTATGTTAATATTAAAACGAAACTTACAAAAATACTTGTACCGAGCTTTAAATCCTTTCCTTGTCTTTCCAGAAAATGTTCTGAAGTTTATCAACATAAATCGTGTAGTGGATTTAAATGTAAGTTTTGGTCTGCTGTAACAACAGTATCTGTAATAGATTTCGAACAATCATATGTTTAATGTTTATTTGAGAACGGTTCCGGAAAGAATTGGAAGGCAGAATAAAACAAAATAATATTGTAATGATTAATTTCGAATATAATTCGTCCATCAGGTTTAATAATGAGTACATTCTGAAGTTTGCATCTCTACACGTAAAATTTGAAATACAAAGTTCTTACTTTTCTGGAATTTATTTCACTAACAGGGAAAACATTCAAAAGTAGTGTAAACCTACTGTAAGTTGAACATTAAAAAGTCTAAATGATTCACATTAAAGAGGTCAAGAGTTAAAATCAAAACTTTATTCAGCGCTAAGCACTGTTTTTGAAAACAGATTTAATTTGTTTAATATCGTAAAGTTTCATTTTTTGGAAAAAATAATGTATACAAAAAATATTTTTAATCAACACAAATAAATTTGTAGCTGAAAGAAAAGCATGTTAACTTCAAACAGAAATTTGATGTTGATTACGAATGTCTTTAAGTTGCTCGATAAATTTTTAAGAAAATAAAATAAAATCACAAAATGAAAACACACACAAATACCTGTCATACTATAAATATTGGTAAAAATTGGAAGTTTTTTAAAAGCATTGACCTGATGCGAGATAAATTCATAGTAACGTGGTTCTTTTTTTCTCACTACAACTAAACCAGATGAGATGGCGTTAGCTTGGATGCGCAAGATGAAGAAATAGAATTATTGCTTGAAGTAATAGTATAAGAACACTTTTTTCAAATGTACTGTACAAAAATTAAAACCAACCAAAAAAATAAATGAAAAGAAAAATAAATATAAATAAAGAAATAATTAAAGAAAACAGGAAGTCCAAATAGAATTTTTTTGAAAGTTTTTGGTTTTTGTCGAGCCTGCGACTTCTGTCGCAGAAAGCGAGACATAGGGATAGTGATCCGGTGGCGGCCACGGAATCGTTAACAAACTTCTTAAAAGCTAAATATTTCAGAAGGTAGAAGTTTTGGATCCTTCATACTTTGTATATGGATGTCTTATGCTATGAAGTTTACGTCTGTTATAAGTCCATTGTCCTTGACCTCATTTTCATGGTTCAGTGACTACTTGAAAAAAAAAGTTAAGATTTCTAGTATTCTTAATTTCTCTCTTATTATGAGTAATAGGATAACTATATTTGGTATAAAAAGTAAAATCACAAAAATACTGAACTCCTAGTATGTGCGTATCTTGCAAGGTCTTAATGCCTGTCAGACAGTTTTCGCTTGACCTCGACCTCATTTCATGGATCAGTGAACAATGTTTAGTTTTCTAGGGCAAGTCCATATCTCAGATACTATAAGCAATAGGTCTACTATATTTGGTGTATAGAATGATTGTAAGGTGTACATGTCCAACTGTCAGTTGTCATCTGACCTTGACCTCATTTTCATGGTTCAGTGGTTAAAGTTAAGTTTTTGTGTTTTGGTCTGTTTTTCTAATACTGTATACAATAACTATATTTGGTGTATGAAAATATTTTACGATGTACATGTCAGTCTGGCAGGTTTTATTTGACCTTGACCTCATTTTTATGGTTCATTGCTCAATGTAAAGTTTTTGTGTTTTGGTCTGTTTTTCTTAAACTATGAACAATAGCTCAACTATATTTGGTGTATGGAATGATTGTAAGGTGTATATGTCTGTCTGGCAGTTATCATCTGACCTTGACCTCATTGTCATGGTTCATTGGTCAATGTTAAGTTTTCCTGGTTAAGTTTGTTTCTTAGATACTATATGCAATAGGTCAACTATATTAAAAGCATGTAATGATTGTAAGGTGTGCATGTCTGTCTGGCAGGGTTCATCTGACCTTGACCTCATTTTCATGGTTCAATGATCAATGTTAAGTTTTCCTGGTAAAGTTTGTTTCTTAGATACTATGTGCAATAGGTCAACTATATTTAAAGCATAGAATGATTGTAAGGTGTACATGTCTGTCTGGCAGAATTTATCTGACCTTGACCTCATTTTTTTGGTTCTTTGCTAAATATAAAGTTTCCATGGTTTGGTCTGTTTCTTGTATACTATAAGCAATAGATCAACTATATTTGTTGTATGGAATGATTTTAAGGTGTACATGTATTTCTGGCTTGGTTTATCTGACCCTGACCTCATTTTATATGATCATGTTAAGTTTATGTGATAATTGTAGTAAAACTTTACATATAGGAATATCAGCATAAAATCAATGGTCAGTAAAGCAGACGAGACATTTAAGCGTGTTCACTCTTGTTCTCTTCTAGCGGTCATTTCTAAACTATATGTACGAATACTTTGAAAAATATGAAACCTGTATATTTTTTTATTTATACTTTTTAATTGGAAAACACTGTTACTGCTATAGATTGATTGATTGATTGTTGGTTGCTTAACGCCCAGTGCCAAATATTTCATGCATGTTCATGCTATGGAAATAAAGTTGTCTCTATCAATGCGTAAGAATAAGGTAAAAACATTGATACAAATGCAAACTGCAAGCAACAAGTTGGTGCGTTTTTTGTATGAATAACAAAAAAGTAAAATAACAAAAATACCGAACTGCAAGGAAAATTCAAAACGGAAAGTCCCTTATCAAATGGCAAAATCAAAAGCCCAAACACATCAAACGAATGGAAAACAACTGTCATATTCCTGACTTGGTACAGGCATTTCCTTATGTAGAAAATGGTGTTTGCCTCCATATAGTTTAGGGTTTAATGTACATTTGTCATTCCATATTTTGTTCATTAACCAGATCTTATAACTGATTGAATTACCAAAGGTTATTGAACTAAATTTTTGAGTAATATTTTTAAATTATTCAAATCGTTTACAAACTAAACTATATATACTATCCACTTTTCATGAAAGTGATCAATCTTTCCAGATTTAAAAACTAACACTGCTATAAGAGTCAATTCAGATAAATTTAAAGGAGAGTCAGCAATATTGATTTCTGTACACATCATTTGTATATAGATATAATGACTGATTGAAAGAAAATTGGTTAACACATGCATCATTTATCATGTAACTATCAGATAGGGTATACAATATATGGTTATGTATGAATAGTCGGATAAAGTTTCAGTAGCATTTTTACATGTTATACAAATTTGAGTTTACTTTAGTAAACTGTACATATTACTTTTGTATTGTGATCAGTTATTATTTTCTCTCACTTGATTGGTTAAATGCTGCGGTCGCCTTATTTGATTGTATCCTAAAATTATTTACAACTAAAGACGACAACTCATCAATAGATATGCAAGAAAAGAATGCTTACCTTTATCTTGTGATTACCATGTACCCAATTGACAGGCCTATTTTTTAATTTTTTTTATCTACTCACCTATACTACTAAAATAACGAGGTCAAATTTTTTAGCCGGCGTGACGTAAAGAACAACGAATCGAAGAAATCAACTTTATATATAACTAATATAGGACAATGGTGTTGATTAAAAAATTACACCACTTCAGGCCCTTTTGGTTTCCACATAATTAATATTACCAATAATTAACAAGTTCCGGGTCGAATCCGAATCCGATACCGATACCAATAGTATATGTTACATGTAGTTTCCGGTTGTAGTAAGAAAACCAGGACGGGTTCAAACAGAAAGATTTTAAAAGCAGAGAAAACTGTGCATCTTATAATCATCATGACTATCCAGTCTAAAATTAAGGCGTAGGTACTTTAATTCAGTCGCGGACCCGTGTCGCGGGTGTGTTCTAGTTCTAACGAAATTTTTAATGTTATGCATCTGATCTGCACTATCATTTGCAATACAGTCAAAAATATAATTATGTGAGAATTCTTTTTAATCATATACAACACAGGCAACATTGACACAGATTGTAAAGAACATCGAATATCAAATAACCACCCTGTGGTCTCATTGTAGAGTAGTTGTCTGTGAATTATGATTTTCATGAGAGAAAAATCTAACATGCTGCTATATCTGAATAAGGAAGACATATCATTACCTAGGACCAGCATCAGACAAACTACTATATCGTACTTCAACATAATCTTTGCAAGAATTGCTGCAACGAAGTCTAAACGTTCCTCGGAACTGAAATCTAACTCGCTTTCCTTTAGGTGCCTACAATTAAAACACAATAATGTTTTAGTTTATCTTATTTTTTACAGAGTTTGAAGAAGAAAAAAAATGTAAAAAAAAAAAATCAATAAAACCAAAAAAAATCTATTCGATAATTAAATATTAAAATAACAAACTCAAGAAGAAACCACCATTCTACTACATTAAGTACTACTAAATCAGTTATACAGTAGTATAAAATACGTTTCAGCTGTATTTTTGGAAAACAGCTACACTAAAAGTAATAAAAAAAACACAGCTGTATACGATTTTGACTTTTATTATAACTCAACACTCATCGTAGATACCAGGATTTAAATTGTGTACGCCAGACGCGCACGCGTTTCGTCTACAAAACTCTCATCAGTGACGCTCGAATCAAAAAAGTTAAAAAGGCCAGATAGAGTACGAATTTGAAGAGCATTGAAGACCCAAAATTACGAAAGGTCTTCCAAATACAGCTAAGGTATCTAATATACATATTTGTAACAAAGAGATTATCGAAAGAACATTATTACCATGTTGTAGTTTGTAAATGGAGATAACTTTAAGATCACATATTTTTTTTTCATTAACTTTAACTTATAAATTTTAAAATACTCGTTGATAGATTAAGAAATTATTTATGCAACTACGGTTCCAACCCCTCAGGCTAAGTTGACCGTAGAGGAATTTGGCATTTTTCGTCTCTTTCGTTTATATAGCTCATACCGTATCGACGTATTTATACATCCCTGACTTTTAAATATCTAGGTTTGTGCGTTCATGATGAAGGTTAATTCGGGAAAACGCTTCAGGCGCACGAAATTTATAAAGTTTTATTTTCATTTAAATACATTTTTCATTCTTAAATCTTTTTGTTTTGTTCTCTTTTGTTTTACTTTTCCTTTTTTGTTGGGTTTGTTATATTTTTTTTTATAAGTTAATGCCTTAGAAAAATATATTATATATCATTTTTTTCTTATTGCTTTCTACAAAATTCGGATAAAACTAATAGCATTTAAGAAGCAACAAACAGAATAAATGAATTTAAAACAGCATGAACTCTAACACAAATCAGTTTTGACGCGAGTTTAAGTTAAATTGTTTTTTTCGTGTTAATTCTTTTGTTGTTATTGTCTTGAAAAACTCAACATAATGGGTGCGAACCAATCGTTTTCTTGAATAAGCTGATTCTTACCGTAATCAACCAGGAACACTCATTAGATGTAGAATATCCAGATGAAGTATATCCAGGAGATGTAAATGATTTATAGGACGACGTAGCACTGAGCGTGATGTCACCACAGGAACTAGAACCTGAAATGCAAAATTTGGTTCCCTTCATTTAGACAATGAAGACATAGAATAGATAAATATAAAAAAAATGTTTATTAATGCTCAAATTATTGCCTTTCTTCAGATACAATTTTCTTTAAAAAAAAATAAAAATAATGGCATGGACTTACCTGGGCGAGATTTTGCAGGACTTGTACAATAACGTCCTGTCAATCCATCAGGACATTTACATTCGGTGCATTTGTTTGGATTCCTGTATCCGCCATTTTTACATTTAGACCACTTCAGACCACCGGAACATTTTGCTGTACAATAATTAAGGAACACTATGTCATAATCAAAGTTTCTCATTTGTAGACGCATCTAGAAATTCTTTGAAATTGTAAATTATATTTTTTCCACATTCTTTTTATAAATTAGATAAAATCAACTGGCTAGCTAGAAAAATTATGAATATAAAGATTTATTTAGTTTATTCAATGGATAGCTGCTTCATTGCCAATCATACCGTAGCTCCTTATTTTTAATTAGATTTTTTTCGGTACATTACACAGTTGTTATGAAGAATATGCCAGTTGTTTTTAATTCGTTCCGTTTGTTAATATAGCCTAACGTTTGTCATTGTACGGATTTATGGAGTTCCCCTTTTTTAATATACCTTAGAGTTTGATATTTTTGTTAACACTTTTTTCAACCATTGTTAACATGTTCTACAAATATGTAGCTGATAGCCTTATTTCTCTACAGAGTTTTGTTCCGTTATTTATTTCGTATCATAGATGAATACAATAAGTTAATGTAAATCATCGTTTTACCTATATAAAATGTTTTTATTGTTTTTCCTAGTTTTTTTTTGGCGGTTCGAATCAGTCATTTTGCTTGCTTCCGTAATTTCAACTTTTCATCGGATATAATTTTATAACAGAACATGCTCATCACACCTGATGTTGCACTACACGTATCATCACATGTGACATGCATACGGATCTAGATGAGGTAAAATTAATGTCTTGCAAGACAATAATGTGTAAGCGAAATTGTTTAGCTGATTTAAACAAAATTTATCAAACCGGATATTTATTCAATATTCTGCTCTTTTATATGCTTGGAAAAGATACTTTAATTTTCAACTTAAACCGTTTAAATTGTAGCTTCTTTATTATTTATTTTATCTTATTAATCATCTATCATGTCATATCTATGCGCTTCTTTTGATATAGGAATTAAGTTTTGTTAGAATCATGTCGTTCAATCATTTGTCAGTTTATTTTGGTATTCATATCAATCAATTAACTGGAATCACCCTGAACGGAAAATATTTATATACTTATCAAAAATACCATTTTGATTCAAACAAATAATAATAATTAAATATTTAACGGTTTTCTGAAAGGAAGTACAGACAATGTGATTTTCATTTGTCAGCATATTCTATAGAGAATTTGAAAATATTTGAGATTGACATCAGATATTTAAGTAAATAAGGTTATTGCACCAAATATTTGTGATATTATACGAGAGATAACATTCACGAATATTTGCACATGGACCATTTGTAGTATGACAAAACTTTTAAAATCTCAAGAACAGCATGTATAACTTCAATCACGTTTTTTATGCAGAATTGCACGAGTACAATGGCTAGTTCCTAAAGGCACATTACATTTTCCTGTAGTGAAGGACATTAAATCTTTAATATAGGTACTTACAATTGCAATAATGAAAATTCGCCGCTTTAGCGTCGTAAAACGAAAGAACTTGACGTTGACCAATTGTTCTATCGTAGTCAGCTTTTCTGGGTATTATAGTCTTCTTTGTTCCAGGAGGTTTGGAGAAAGACTGCAAATGAAATGCGTTAAAATACCACTTGAGAAATGGAACAGACATCGCCACAATAATTACCGATCTTGTGTTGAAAATGTACTTCCAAAGTAAAAGTAAAACTTAATGAATATTGTTTCTGTGATCGACTATTCTCATCTTAAGCTTCAATGCAGTTTTGAAACTGATCTATAGAAGATAGTTGAAACAAAAAAAATATATGAAAATATTTCAATTTTTACTTTATTAATCTAACAACTATGAACAGACTGAAGTTGTCGGACAACGATTGAAGTCACATTCAGGCTAAAATAATGTCTAATATAAGATTGTAACTTTTAAAAAAACATATCTACTAATTTTTTTTAAACGTTGATGCCGTTTACTCCATGAATACAACGTCACTAAAAAAGGGCATTGTGTATATATTAAGTTTAGTTCACGAGATATCGTTTTTGGGGAGGCAGCAAAATACAACTAATAAACTAAAACAAAACATTCATATTATCTTTCACGTTGTGTATCAAGTTACTTACATATGCTCCATAATGCATGAGTGAACTATAGTCATACGGCAGCCCATATGTCCGTGATACACTCCATGGGTACCGGACAAAATTGCCTTTTTTATTTTTTATAATGTTCTTTTCTAAGATATCAACATAAGTTTCACGATCTGGTCTAGATTGTTCGTGCCAAAATCCAATTGCATGACCAATTTCGTGAACAACTATCCCAACCTGTAAATAAATAATGAATATACACATATATAAAAATGTCCACGGTACGTATTCGAAAGTGAAAGGTCCAAAGACGAAGAGTTATAGAAAGATGATCTCCTATACGTTATATATATAATGTTCGTTATAGAAAACACAAAAATGCTTTGTGGGAGAATAGGAAGATACTCTGTGGTAATGCTTACTTGTTAACCCTAGAATCTTCATCTTGTTATACAGCTGATGTCATAAGTATTAACCCATTTCATGTTCCTCCATATTTCCGATTGCCAAGCGATTTCTATTGTTTTCGTCCAGAATAGTAATGAAATACTTGGCAGTTTCCCTCGCTGACCCGAGGAAGCTTATAAGTAACACACGTTTTATCCACAACGAAATCGATATAAATCAGATTGAACCAAAACATAAATCTGAGTTACTACATTTGCAGAGCTAATAACCTTTATTTGGCAACGTCATTTCGTATAGAAAAAGAAAGACTAATCATTTTGAGAACAGAATTGATCTTGTATGTTTTAATGAAGTCATTTCTGCCACATGGTGCATACAATGAATACATTTAACTCTTTCTCGGTTTAGACTTAGACATGTTTCACATAATGAACTTTTACACTTTCTAATTATCTCATTTGAAAAAAAAAAAAATAATAACAAACCATTCGGGAGTTGCAATAGTCATTACCTTTCTGCTACAGCTAATAAATAAATCATACTCTCGTAGACTAAAGAATCAATCAGTACATATTTAGTGTAAAGACTTCATAAACCAGCTCAGAATTCGCATATTTTGTGCACTGCCAACATATAAATAAATAGTAGTGACAGAATGTAGGACTTTAATTTTCATAACTGTATAGCTATATATTTAGTTATGTTTTACTCTATCAAAACAAAATCAATGCTTATAGTTAACAACACTATTCAAAAGGAAGATACATCCGTTCAATGGAAAGACTACTTTTACATCTGCAAAACATTGTACCTCACAGAGCAATAATTTACATACCTTATGACAATTAGATCCAAGATTTATATATTGAAAAAAACGTTTTCTACCAACTTTTGAATTGCACTTTCTGTATAAGAAAAAATGAAAGGTTATGGTGTTAATGTTGTTTATTAAACATCATAATCTAGATATTTATAGTTCTTTATGCAAAGTTAAGACCTTAAAGCTGTTTATTTTGTTTGCCTTATTTTCAAAGAAATATATGAAGTTCTTCTGCGATACAACAGATTACATGTTTATGATGACGAAAGACAATATTAAAATGCAAATTTGAAAAAAAAAAAAAATAAAAGCTCATGATTTACCCCATATCATGTTCCTCCGAATAAATTTAATGCAAGAACTAAGGTTGTCGGATAGTACCTTTAAAGACTGATTTATTATCCTCCGGATGCAATTGACATAGAAAAGTAAAATAATTTCTTAGACCTTTGAAGAAAAGAAAACATGGCATTCACTTTAAAATTGTGATTTAAAAAATTGTGTCGAAGAGTATGAGTATTTGTCACATTTCTACTTTATTTTACCAACTTGAATGGTTAAGAGTCTTTAAATGGCTAAATACAATTTTCATTTCGGGGCCTTTGATACTCTGCTATGCGGTTTGGGTTTTGCTCATTGTTGAAGGCCGTATAGTTCTAACTACTGTGTCATTTGGTCTCTGGTGGAAAGTTGTCTTTATGGCAATTAAAACACATCTTCTTATTTTTATAACACAGAGTCCACATTAAACGATTCCCTCATTGTTTTGTTACCTTGATTTGTCTACTCTTAATCGATTTACGAGATTGAACATCGGAAATCTACTGTCGCATTTATTAATACTAGTAGCATATCGACGTTTCGTAGATACATAAAGGTGTAGACATATTTCAGAGTAAGCATAACACATATTGCAATATAGTAGTGTGTTGTAACTTACTTTTTATTTTTGGCTTTTCTAAAGATGATATTAGGTCCCTTTATTCCACCCTTCCTTTTTTTAAATCTTATACAAGTATTTTGTTCCCATACATCTGTTGCTGATTTAATAAGAGTACCTGTAAAATAAGCTTACGATTAAAAAAAAATTACATTTGTAACATTCCGTGCAATATATATTTTTTCAAAATATTTACCTGAGCTGAATTATAAATAGTCGAGTAATTCTAAAAGAAATAAAACAAAAAGGTCAATTTAAGCTCTGTGTGTGTGACTTTACACAAATGGTGTTTTTTTTTCGAAATAAGAGCGTCTGATTGTTGTTGTTCTTTAAATCATATTTTGTGTTATCTTTTTACGGGAGGGGGAATATAAAAATTTTAGATCACATAAACCAGTGAATAAAATGAGTATAGCTATTTCCAATTTTACCGTCATCGATTGTATTGTAACAATTAATTTGAAGTCTACACACACTGCTCTTGATTTTCATCATTCAATTCACTATAACATTTTTGCTACCATATTTCAATTACTGTATCATATTAGGTAAAAATTATTAACAAACATACCGAACTCCAAGGTAATTTAAAAAAAAGGAAGAATCCCATAAACTTCACAAAATCAAACGCTCGGCTATATCAACCAACGGAACGAACGAAAATCAACTGTCATATTCCGGACTTGGTATATATATATATACATGCATTTAAAGAAAAAAGTGGTGTGTTAAATCTGGTTTAATAGCCAACTAAACCTGCCAATTGTATGACAGTTGTTTATAGTTCCGTTATACGAACAAAATTTGGTGAGCAACCCGACCAGACATAATTGGTTAACGTGACAATAATTGGGACAAAGCAGCTAAAACTGTGTAAACGTACAGCACAGACAAACAACACAGCTGACTTAAATTTTTTATACAAATATACAAAAAAAACTTACAAACACACCAACAAGGAAACTTTTTTTGGTGATAGTGCATATTCTATAGTAAAATATAATGACATATGCACTTTCCTGATAAAGTACAAAGTAAGTAAAATACAAAAATTAGGGTATACAAAATAAAACAACGCTATCAAACCTCATGTGTCCGAACCGCATCTCTGGACACACCAGCTTCAGGAACGAACAAAGCAAAAATTAGGAAGCGATCCATGGTGAATATACATTCGATCTGAATATGAAATTCAATGTTATATTTTATAAAAATAAAAGTTAGTTAAGACTCATGTGTGAATAGACGATTAAACAAACTATAAATTTCTGCCTGATCGTATATTCAATTTAAAAAAAATTAACCTTGTTACATACTACTTATCCCTTTTTTAACTCGGTACTGTATTGGCATTTTCCATCTTTTGCTTTTATCCTTAAGAAGCGTTCGCCAAGTTTCGCTTTGTTCCTGTAATATATTCCATCCAAAAATATTTATGCAAAATACTAAAAAAGTATTATTGAACTGAAGCTCTAAAAATCTGTACATTTTATAAGTTGTTTAGAACATGTTATCATATGACATTTTCACGAACTTTCTTACTTTTAAATGTTATGTAAGATTGTGACGTCTCTTGTGGATCCGCCGTTTTCTGTCGGAGGTGAAATTCATGCATTAGTCTCTGATGCGTGATTTTTTATCATTAATTGTTTTTGGCTTTTAACTAGCTGTCAGTAACTGCGAGTACTCTCAAATCGTACTTTCTTGTTTATTTGACCTGTTGATACTAATTTAAATGCTTTTTTGTAATTTAATGTTTACTTATTCAGTGTTATATCTGGTCTGTATACCAGCTTTGATAAGTGTTTGGTATTACTATACATTTTCAATTCTTCGTACTATGAACATCAAAATTATTTATTTTGTAAAAATATTTCCTTTCTCCATTTGAACTGTACACGTATACCTAACAATAGAATTATTTTCATTTACCTGTGTTTAAAGTAGTTGCAAATGGCTGATATTTTTGTTCAAGCATATTGTTTTTCTTAAATGGTTTAACATTTCACAGCGGTATGCCATGTTACTTTAAGTATTCTTCCCTTAGTTTATTTATTTTGTATTTACATTGTATCATAGATCAAATTTATCTGTTCAGTGTATGTTCACTGGTGTTAATATGTCTTTTGATTGAGTTAAGCCATTTCAATTGATATTTTATAGTGTGTCTTTCAATGTTGTGATGTTACACTATTGTTTCAGATAAGGGTGAAGGTTTGGTACCATTAAAACGTTTAAACCCGCAGCTACTTTTTGCACCTGTCCTAAGTCAGGAATCTGATGTTCAGTAGTTGTCGTTTGTTGATGTGGTTCATAAGTGTTTTTCGTTTCTCGTTTTTTATATAGATTAGACCGTTGGTTTTCCTGTTTGAATGTTGAAGACCGTACTTTGACCTATAATGGTTTACTTTTATAAATTTTGACTTGGATGGAGAGTTGTCTCATTTGCACTCATACCACATCTTCTTATAACTATTAAAAATAGTTACTCCCATTACTGTAAGGAAATTATTGGTAGTCAGGAAAAGTTTTTCTCAATCATATTTGTTTTCGACTTTGTTTTGTTGTTGAGATGGATGATATTATTTTATTAATTACCACTGAACTGAGTCTAAAAGCCGTGCCACTCCTACTAGAGCCAATTTTCATTAATCCTGGGTATTGCTTAAAAGCCTTAATAATATCTTGTATATCTTCTTTGTCCAATATAATATCGTCTTCGATTAATCCATCAACATCCTCTATCAGCTTCGCAGAATTCCGCTAAAACAATTTAACATGAAATCAAATCAATGTAATCAATTACAATTTTTAATATAATACCGAATATTCAGTTTTCTTTTTTAAATTCAAAGTACAAATTTAGATGATGTTTTTAATGCTTTTTAGAGAAAAACGGATATATGTATGTAAAAGTTAAGATAATAAATCAGCTATTTATTTTATATGATTTTAAGTTTAAAGCTACAGGATGTTTTTGTTTATACACAGATTTGATTTATAAGAAAAACCGACATGGTTAGAAAATACAAATAATAACACCATTACAAACACAA